GGGTTATTGTTTCTCTGTCCAGTTTCTTGAACAGGAAACTGTGTTTAAAAACGTCATTTCTTAAAAAAAAAGTTTGCTTGACAGCCTTTTCTGCAGTCTGTGCTTCTTCCCATTTCTCTGCTCGAGGCAGAACTCTGCTTGGATGGGGTTTTTTTTTCCTAATTCAGGAGCTAATACCATTCATTTCCTAATCCTACAATTTTCCATAAAACCCAGTGGCTTCTTGAATTTAGGACCCTCAATTTCACCCGTTCATGGCTTATATGAGCCCTTGGTTCAGAGGCCAGGACATGGATTATCCATCTCCTACAAACTCAGTTAAAGTCACAGCCACAGAACACAGGGAGATTAAAGCAAAAAAAGGGCACAAAGAAAAGGCTCCAAGGGTTAGGGGATGTTGAGCTGAAAAATGTTCCATCAGCTTCTGCTCTGGCCATGCTGGAGCTGCCTGGGGCAGCGTGGGGAGCGGGTGAATGAGGTGCCCAGGAAGGAGGCTGGGTGCCARCTGGGCAGTGTGACCCACTGGCAGCTCTTTCCAAGGGTTCTCAGCAAAGAAAAGCTGGAAAATCCCTGAGCTTTGGTCTGCCAGCACGGGGAAGCCTTCCTGGAGGAGAGGATGTGTCGTGACCAGGATAGCAAGGAGGAGGCAGAGGGGAGGACTGAGCTGAACTTGGGCTTTGCTTTGTGAGGGGGTTGCTCAGTGTTCCCTCTCCATGGGGGAGCTTCCAGGCTGCACAAAACATCGTGTGGATTAAAAACATCCCCATTTCTATAGCGAAATGGGGTCAGGCTGCTGTTCCAGGTACCAACAGACCAGGAAAGGAGATGGAGGTGATCAGATCTGCCTGAGGATGCACCATAAGYAACTTGGCATCCAAAATTCACCATTTTTAGACTAAAACAACAAAAAAAAAAAAGCTCCTGAACAGCTCAGTAGGCACCGTGCAGTGTGTTTTTCCTTTCTGCAGGCATGGGGAAGATATTTTTTGGAATTGTATGCTCCTGTGCTGGTCCTTTGGGTGTCAGGGACCCATTAGGGAGTGGAGACATTCTGAACACTCGCAGTGGTGGGTCTGGCTCTCRATGGAAWCTCTCACACGTGTGTCTGYCAAGGACTTTTGCAGCACTTTAAGYCWSATTTCACCAAGGGCAGAGGGAGAGCGAGCGCCTCGTCAGCCATCCCACGCTGTGTGGAGGAAGATCTGCCTGCAAAGCCCAATTCCTCAGCTCTAATTACAGGAATGGGTGGCTTTTCCCTTCTCAGACTGAAAAAAATTGGCCCAAAACCCTGAGAAACCACAACACAAATGTCTGACGTTGTTCCACATGGTCCTCAGYGAACAAAAACCCTCTTGAAATCAGCCCTTGCCTCCCAAAATAGGCAGCACCACTTCAAAAGGGAAGAAAGGGGGGGAAAAATCCCAAACCCAAGGCTTCTCGGGGTGAGAGCTTGCAGCCTCAGAGTTTCTATAAGTGTTTTGTTGTGCCTGCCAGCCCAGGCAGGATTTGGTGTGGGATGGAGCCGGATTTGCCTGGGGAGGGGAGGGGATGGTCCCACAGGGATGYTCCCASYGTGGTCAGCAGGCACYTCCTGTGATGGGGAGCTTCACCATCATCACMATCACTCCTTCTCCATCCTCTACATTTTTTTTCACCTGGGAATATTACTCTGATCTCAGTCCCAGTCTGGAGGTCATGAGAGGTTTCTTGCAAAGGGAACATGGTCTGGTGTGGGCTGAGCACAACCAGAGCAAAGAGGAGACACCAATCCACTTATTCTGGGGAAAAACATGATCTGCTCACACCCCTGTCCCACTGGACACCAGTTTGGAAGGAACAGGAGCTGGCAGTCTTTGTGCAGAGTGCCTGCATGATTCTTGCAGTGCCTAAAGGGCAGGAAAACACTTCTGAACCAGAARTGGGGCACGCTTACAAATCATAAGGGATCTGTGTGCCAGCGTGGGATGCCCTTCATAGCAGTGGTTTCCCYTCTTTGTTTGCCCAGCTCACAGCACTCAGAAAGGCAGCCGTGCCCACCCACCTCCTGGGAGCTTATCTTGCCCCAGAATAACATTTTAGATTTCCTTTTTAAATTAAAGCGTAATATTTTTGTAGTATAACAAAAGAGGTTTGAGTGTAAGGTGATAAACTCACACTTGGGTTTTTTTTCTGCTGAAGTTAAAGCCCATGTGGACCATTTATTTTAGAAGGAGCAGCCCTGGATTCACCTTGGACCATCCAAAAAGCACACAGGATGGTCAAATTCAGGTCAGGACCARCACTAACCTGACACTTWGAAAATAATTAGCTACATCCTCTWATTTCAAGAAACTGAGGATGTGAGCAAGCAGAACATTAATAAATACAACAAATATAATAAATATGTACATTCATTAATCCCCTGCAGATTAAAGGGAACAGGGGTGTGCACACATGACAGGTGCCACCCCAGGATTCACAATATCTTTAAGGGAATGGGTAAAAGATTGGCAAGAAACCACGTTATCACCAAARTCTGTTACAGCCAGAAAGTGGAGCCTAAAGTTAGGCCGGTGCTCAGAGCCTGTAAATCATCTCTTTCTGGTCCCCAGGGCAGCTGGGGTGTATTCAGAGAGCTGGTGACTCTCAGCATCCTTTGCAGGGGGATTATCCCTGCTGCATCTTGGGGAGTTGTGTGAACTGACTCACAGTTCAATAAAAATTTGGCTTCGTAAAACACCATCTCTTGGATCCAGCATTGCATTTTCTCAGGCAGAGAAGTGGAACTGATTTTTATCTGCTGCACTGGATGGTTTCTAATTGTCCCTGGCCATCCTTGGGAGTTCATTATTTCTCCTTCAGCCGACACCGGCTTCTAATTAAGGGACATAAAATTAAGATGGAAGAGCAGCAGTTTGCAAGGGTRTTGCTGCTCGTGAAGGAATCTGGGCTGGATTTATGCCAAAAATGCCCTYTTGTTTGCAGGGTTTTGGTGGGGAGAGGGTGGTGTGAGCACTGCTGGGTACCACTGCRCACACCCTGCTGGATTAGCAGAACAGCCCTTTGAGGGGACAATTTGCTCCAGTCCTTCTTGCCCCTGCTCCTGCATCTCTTCTTCTTTGTAAGGGCACAAATATTTCATAAATCAGAGTTTTTCCTACAAGAAATTCAGGATGGGTCCTGTCCCCACAGCAGTGTGACCATCGCTGGGGGCAGCAGGCACAGAGGGCTCTGGGCAGTACAAAGATGATGCTCAGCTCTGGTGATGCATTCTAACCAATTTATCAATTTTTCTCCCTATAATTCCCCCCATATTTTGGGTTTTTTTTAATGCTAAATATTTTTTTCTCCTGGGAGGGTGATGAGACATCTACAGAGCCCCATTGCAGTGCTGCTTTTGGGGTACAGTTGCAAAGCCAACAGCTGAAAAAGAGCCAAGCCATTCTTAAATCCATCTCTTTCTACATCCCAGTGCATCACATCACAACTTTAGRAAGTGTAACACTGCTCTGAAAGCAGTCTCAGGATTTCATTGACATTCTTTTTTTGCCAGGAGATTTCTGGAAGATGTTTGTATATTTTTTAAATGGGAAGGGAACAAATTCTTCCCCATAATCCACCCCAGTGCTTCCCTGCAGAGTGTGGTGTCAGTGTTACAYGTTGGCACAAGAAAACCCTTTCAGAAACAGGAATTATTTAAACATTACAGAAATCCACAGGTTTCTGGCCTCATCCATCAGCTGCCTGTGGTACCAGCTGCTTTTTGCAGGTGGTTAATAAATGCAAATGTGCTCTGGTGTTTTTCTCTCCCCTYCTTTTATAACCCCACTACTGCCTCATTTTCATCCCACTCCTGGTCAGCAGAGATGGCTTTGATGGGGGATTTTCCCCCAGGCTTGAGCTGGGCATTAAGCCTGGCTTAACTTTTACAGCACGGTGCACCTGGCTGGGGGTTTTCCACCTTGTTTATATTAAATAAAAATACGTAGAGGTGTCTGGAGTGGTTTTGGTGAAGTGCTGTAAATGCAAAAAAGGGGATTAAGGAGCTTTAGGGCTTTGGTGCTTTAGGTGGAAAAGCCACAAGGACAATGAATTCCCCTCAGGTTTTRTACAGTTTAAAAATTTGTTTTGGAAAGAGAAATTAAAAAGTTTTTGCTTCTGTTTCATATAGGCTGAAAGGTCATTCTAACCCCTCTGCCCTCAGATTTCTCTGGAGCAGGGAAWTTTTCCCTGGTTTGTATCCTAAATCCATACATAAAATTACATACACTGTGTTTATGGTTAAACCAGTAGTTTAGTGACTGCGAGTGACAGAATTTGAATTTTGTTAAGCAAACAGAACAAACTTATCATATTTTTTTCAGTACTTAAAGCAGATATAGTCCTTGGAAGTGTTTAAGGCCWGGTTGGATGGGGCTTGGAGCATCCTGGTCTAGTGGAAGGTGTCTCCAGCCCAAGGGGSTTGGGATGAGATGGTCTGTAAGGTCCCTTCCAACCCAAACATCCCACAATTCTGTGATTTTAGTGGGACTCACAAGGCTGAGACACTGCTGTGGGTGAGAATTACCCGTGTGACTTTGGCAGATGTGTAAATGCTCCTGCTTCAGGCACAAGCCAAGTCCCCAACCCAAAGGGACAGACAGAAATGCTTCCCCTGGATCTGTGTGGGGACATCCCCCCCATCCTGGGGATTTTTACACTCTGGAGCTGCTCGATTGGGTTTTTTCCCCTAGAAATGGAATCAATGCAACACCTTCCCTTGAGCAGCCCAACATAGCTCGTGTGACCCCATGTCCTTGCAGGTACTCCTGTCCTTTTTGCTTCCCAGGAGGCAAAGCAGAGAGCTCAGGGTAGGGCTCAGGGGCGCTGCAAAGCCATCAGCGAGGCACCATGGCCAACCACCACCACACATTTTATAATTTCATTTGATTTTTTTTCTTTTTTTTTTTTTTTCGGGGAACTCTGCTGCATCCCGGGCCGCGAGGGGGGAATAACCTCTTTGATTTTATTTTTTTTTCAGTTCTCTCAGGCCAGACACACCACAGCCCTTTGAAACGCTCTGTGTCCCTTACCCCACCCATGAATGTGCCAAACCAACCTCTAGGACATGGATGGATGTCTCATGAGGACTTACGAGCTAGAGGACCCCAGTGCATCCCTTCCGATCATGCCCCCCTGTCTCCACAAAGCAGTGTAGCCTCTTCGGGAAGTGGTGGGAGTGAACATTTAGAAGATCAGCCTTCTGCTCGTAACACATTCCAGGAGGAAGGGAGTGGGATGAAAGGTGAGTGACAAACCAGCCCCCAACCCCGCAGCACCCAGAGGCAGGAGGGGAAGAGCCGTTTTTCCCGGTTGGAGGTTTTGGGATGAGGATCCTCCCGGCGTTCCTTCCCACCTCAGGAATTTAGGTTTAGGGGAATGCGTTGGGTTTTTTCTTTTAAGCAGCAGCTGGTCCTGATCTGACGTCTTGCAATTGGGTGCCAGTGGGGCTGGTTTTGCCCCAAAATCCTGCGAGCTGCCAGCTTTCCAAAAAGCTGGATTTTTTTCCATAGCCTGTGGCTTTTGGCTGCGAGTGGTGCTCTTTTTTCTCTCTTTTTTTTTTTTTTAAATTACGGTGAAAAATAGCTTAGGGCAAGCTTAGCAAGCCACGTGTGATTTACCATTGCAGTGTTTGGTACCCACCAAGTATTTGGGGAAGTTTTGGCTTGGGATACTTGTTTGCAGTGAATTTAACMTGTGTGTTTTGGTTGGTTTTCCCATTATACCTGCATTTCACAGAGATTTTGGCAATAAGTGTACGTGGYTCTGGTGGTAAGCAAGGCAGAAATTAACCCCATTTGCTGCAGTCAAAGATGGAGAGCGAACTTGAGGCTGACAAGAAACAAATAGATCAAAAATGGGCAAACACACAGATTGTGTGTTCCTGGGAACAGACTGAAAATGACCCTGCAGCTCTCAGACTGATTTAAACAACTCCAATTTGCATTAATGCACAGCAGCTCAATTGTGTACAGACCAGTGGTGTATCAGGACAGGGCAATAATTTTATTTTTTAACAGTCACAAGGTTTGATTTTAGTCTAATTACAGACAAATTGAGATATGGATAAATCTGTGTGATGTGGGACTGCGTTTGGCTTGGCTCTGGATGGCTTTGATGTGCATGAAATAAATGCATGAAAAACCCCTTGTGCTTCCAAGGAATGTAACCAAGGCAGGTCGGGTCCTGCAGTGTGTCAGGCCAGGGAGAACTTTTTGGGAGCAAGTATTTCGGGGTGGGAGCTGTTTAACCCTACATTTCTCCAGGTTTCTGCAGAAGGAGCTGCAGAAGAGGGAGGAAACCATGGGGAGCTTGGCTCCTTGTGATCCACAGTTGCAGCTCCAGGACCTGCTTGGATAGAAACATCCCAGTGACATGCAATCAACCTGTGTGGCCAAAWYCACAAAACTYTTAGGCTTCCCACCTGCAATAATCYATTAAAYAACCCCCACACAYTCAGACATCCCCRTGCTGCTGCGTGCAGCTGGGACATGGCCACCCTTCCTCGGGCCATCCCTTCCCAGACTTCCAAACATCATTCCCCCATTGCTGACTCAGCCAAATGGCTTTTGTCCCGCTGCCTGGGGACGTGCAGAACAGATGTTCACAACCTCTGGTGTCTATGCCTGCTGTGTCCTCCCCACTCCAGTGCCTTCCCAGATGATGTTTTCTGAACTTGGGGTTGTTCCTGCTTCTCTCYGCCAGGTTTTTTTCCAAAAAGTCCRTGTTTTATTGAAGGTGTGTTGCCCAAAACCGGACTTGGAAGCAGAGCAGAGGTTTGTTTGCCTCCAGACAGCATTCCTGTGGCTGTGTAGCTCATCGTCCTCAAATAACAAAGCACTGTGGGCTGCATATGACCCATTGTATCCCCACAGCTTTCCTGAAAAAAAAAAAAAAGGGACTGCCCGTTCCCTGCACTCTGATCGTGCTGTTTCTCGTTCCTACAGAAACGCACAACTCTGTGCATTTTTATTGGGTTGCCTCGTATTCCATCCAGACCAGCTGCTCCCTCTGCCAAGTCCCTTCTCTGAATTGCAGCCACGTCTCCCCGAGTGCCTGCAGGCTCTTGTGGTTTGGTGTCACCCCAGCTTTTGGTCAGCTGGTTCCTTCTTTAATGTCCTCTCAGGGCTTCCTAGATCCAGGAGGATCCAGCCCCATGGAATCTGGAATGTGAGGAATCCAGGCCCATGGCAGATCCCCATCTGGCTTACCAGTTTATCTCCCCCAGCATCACCTATTTCTTTCCTTTCTGTTTATGCTCTCATGTCACCCATTTCCTTCCATCTGTGTTCACACTGAAGGAAAGATGCCCTTTGGCTTTTTCCTGGTCCTTGGTTTCTTCAGGGGAAGATATGGACACTTGGTTCCCCATTAACCCCATCTGTCTGTCTGTCTCTGGTTGGAATTAGATGATCTTGAAGGTCCTTTCCAGTTCCTGCTCCAACCATTCCAGGGTTCTGTGATTCCTGGGGCACAACTTGAGGAGCACCAGGAGGAGGGTCTGGGTAGAGCTGGGGATTCCTGCTGGGAGTATATCSAAAGTATCCTGTGTGTAAATATGGCAGGGTGACCTGTTTTCCTTCTAAATTTCCTGAAAGCYGTGCCATGACTTTGCAATTAGCTCCTGGTAATTGCTGATTAAAGAGTAGCTGTGCAGGCAGGTGGCTCACCCATCCGTGGAGTGCTTTGGGAATTTTGACTTTCCAAGGACTCTGAAATCACCTTGGATATCCTTGCACCTCCTGGTTGCCTCTTCCCTGTGGGAAGGGGGGAAGCCCCACCACAGGCAGCACATCCAAAATCATTGCTCTCCCCAAAATTGAAGCATGATCCAGACAGGCTGATGCAAAGGCAAAGAGCTGCTTTTGCACTCCAAGCCCCTGCAAAGGTTGGAGATGGGTTTCCTGCAGGATTCAATGTCTACATGGAGTTGCTTCTCTCTTCTGGAAGTATCCCTGTGGATTTTGTCGTTGGCATGGGCATGTGCCAAAGGCAGATGTCCCCAGGGGACATGGGATTAGGGAGGCTTTTAATGTGCTGTCACTAGAATGGTGTGGTTTTTTGTGTTAAAATTATGTTGAGAATGGAGCCTGCACTGCAATTGGGCCTTTCTGCTAAGAGCTTTTAATTGTTTTTAAAATAGTAATCAGTTTAAGAGAGTGCTGGTAGCAGAATTTGGRACTGTTGCATGTTGGAACTTCTGGAAAACTATGAATTTCAGCCCATCTGTGCTCAGTAATTATTTTCCCTGTGTTTGGTGTGGGGTTGGTCTGTGCAGCACTTGAGGAATTTCACTGACACRTGAATCCCAGTGTGTGTCAGGGGATGCAGAGTGTGAGCAAAACACAGCACTTTGGGATAATTTTTGTCGTTTTTATCCTCTGCTCGGATGCAAGGTGGGTTTGGGATCAGCCTGGGCAGCAGGAGACTTCTGGCAGATGTATTGATTGCTGTAGGAAACCAAACTAGAAGTCCCTCCTGCCCTATTCCTTCCCATGATGAGCTTTGGTTCAGGAACAGTCATGGACAATCCCTGACTTGCTCAACAGTGTGGGGTTTTCTGCACCCACACCACAGGATGGATGTTCCAGCAGCAGGAATGGGCTCCTGGATGTCCCACTGGTTGGGAAGGGGTCAAGGACTGTGGACAAGGTATTGGGAGAGGAGCATGTGAGCTGTGGTAGAGCTACAGATGGGTTGTAGGTGCTAAATGAAGCAGGTCTGGATTTGGCAAAGCTTTGGAAGCCTTTACAAAGGAAAAATATCATCACAGGCCCAGTGCTGCAGCACAGACACCTGCAGGGACCCCCTCCCTTGTRGGGTGTCACCACAGACCCCCAAACCTGCAAAACCCTGAGTAGCTGCTTGCTGTCACATTGCYTTSTCYGTGGAGGACACCCCATCATGGAGTYCAGTGGGGTTTTGAATGTCWCAGGGGAAGGATTCTYYTCCCACTGTGAAACCTCGTKGATGTCAGCAGGATAAATTTATTTTTGGGTTCCCATCCAGCCAGGCACAGAGGTGCTACACTGCAGGTAACAGCTGAGAAGGAAGAAGTCATTTTGRTTGGTGCATTTTTAGGTCCCGAGTCACCCTTTGAAGGGGGTTGTGGGACCATCCTTGATGGCACATCATTTTTCCATTCCAAACCCATCCCTTTATTTCTCTTTAAGCAGCCTGCTCCATTTTCAGCACATGCCACCATCCCTCATGCCATAAACCAATGTCTGTCACCTACAAAACAGCCCTTTGCTCGTCCTAAACTCTACCACTCCATGAGCTTCAGCAGTTCCCATGTTCCTGGGAAAACAGCAGCGAGGAGCTTGGCATGCAGCTCCCCATGGGTTAATTCCCAGTGGTTTACTCATAGAAACCAAATTTCTGAGGATGAGTTCTCATCTGGGAGCTGATTCCTCCTCCCATCCCCATCCCCATCCTCAGCACTGTGTCCCCCCAAAGGTCTGTGAAGTTGAGTGAGGTGTCCATTGGGATGCTCCTCGTGTYGGTGTTGATGCTGTTGCTCGTGGTTGTGCTGTTCCATGAATCCAACAGAGCTCTCCTCTCCTTACCTTTGTGCTCCAGATGTCCCAGCCTGGCTGAAGAGCCTTCGGCTGCACAAGTACGCYGCCCTCTTCTCCCAGATGACGTACGAGGAGATGATGGCCCTCACCGAATGCCAGCTCGAGGCACAAGTAGGTCCCRTGTCACCTGGGGGGTGACACACCTCTGACACCCCTTTGTGAGCAGAGAAAGGGGAACTGGGTCTTGGGGGGTGAAAAAAACCTGCACTGTACCTGAAAAAGCCTTGTCCCCATGTTCTCACTGGTGTCCCAGCATGGAAATCCCATCCCTGGGAGCTGCTCYTGGGGTTTTTTTTCCAGTTGGGATTAAGTTCGGGAGTTTCAGGGGTGTGACCTGCAGTAGCCAATTCCTTTAAAATCAGCAGGGCTTTGATGGCTGACTGCCTTTGAAAATGTCATAGAATCATAGAATATTGATGGTTTGGGTTGGAAATGACCTTAAAGATTATCTGGTTCCAACCCCTGCTGCTTTCAGGCTCACCTCTGCATTATCTGGGGATGATGAGAAACGGGAAACACCATTGTGCTCCCTGTGCTGGTAATCTCTGACTTCAGCCAGTCTCTGAGTGATTTTCTATGCCTCCCACGAATCCCTTCACTCAGAATTTTAATTCATTTCTCGCAGCCCTTTCTGTGCAGCAGAGGAAGGGTTTGGGTTGACCCAGTGAAGGTGTTAATGCCAAGTTTTGTGCTGTTTTTGCAGAATGTTACCAAAGGCGCRAGACACAAAATAGTCATCAGTATCCAAAAGCTAAAAGAAAGACAAAACCTGCTCAAATCTCTAGAAGGGGTAAGTAATCACRACCATTTTTGTATTTCTTGTGTTTTTAGGAAGCCAGAAGTTAATTCTGGGGTGAAGGTTTCTTTGGTTATGTTGTAGGGATCTTCTGCAGGGAAATCTGTTACTGCCTTAGCTGCATGTGAATCATGTCCTGTACCACATGCAGGTTTTATTTCACAGAATTCCAGAATATTTTRGGCTGACAGGGACCTTTAAAGACCACCCTGTTCCAATCTCCTGCCATGGGCAGAGACACCTTCCACTAGACCGGATTGCTCAAAGCTTTATTTTGCAGAGTGGGTCCTAATCCATCTCCCACACTCACAAAGCTGGGATCGGTGTACCCTGCAGCCCTGGCCAGCTCCAGGGTGTTCAGAAAAACCTGGGACATCCTATGGGCAACCTGTCCCTAGATAAAACACCAGCCAGCCACATCAATGCCTGAAAAACATCTTGAATTTCCAAGGAGAATAAATTGAAGCTTCTTTATCACTTCAACAAAAGCTTAAACCCTGCAGAGAGGGCTGTCGGGGAAGTAACAGCACCACAGCCTTGCTGGGAGCAGCTCACCCAACCTCTCCCTATTTATTATCCCTGTATTATATTATATTTAATTGCACCATCTTCAAACAGCAACTTGCAGAGCCTCCCACTAGGGGCTTTTAAATACTTCTGTGGTGTGTTGCTATTTATTGGTGTTTTCCTTAGCTCACTGCTTCACTATTTATTTATAATACGGGCTTGTGCTCAGAGTATGGCAGCAGCTAATAAAGCCATATTTACCTCAGTTATTAATAATAACTATTAAATCCAAGAGCCAGCCCTCTGGATGGAGCTGGCTGCAGCTCTGTGTTTTCCAGGAGATTGCACAGCCTCTTCCCCCGCTTCTCCACCGRGATTTGGAAATCTGGTATTGATTGAGTGGTGCTGTGCAGGAGCTGGAGCTCAGCTCAGCTGGCAGAGCCAACCACGCTGTAAAACACAGCAGAAAAGTGGCAGGGGCTGGTTCTGAGCCCTCCCAGGGTGGGTTTGGGCCGTGGCACTGTGACCCTGTCCCCCTTTGCTGGGGCTCAGAGCTGYCTGTCAGCTGCTTTTCCTGGGAGGAAACATCTCTGGTTTTCCAGGCTTCCCATCCAATTTTGGCTAAACAAGAGCATGTGSGGGACTTGATGGTTTTGGGCAGTTTCTCACTGCTGCTTTCTTGGAAAGAGCTGCTCCACCCCTCTCTGTTAGTTGTCAGGATTTTTTCCCAAAAAAATAGTGCCCAGCAGACTGACACCAGATCTTTGAGAGAAGTGGAGCTGAGACGTCCAAGAGTGAGTTGGGAATGCAGCAGGAATTAGAATCAACAACTGTTTCAGGGCTTGCACACGTCCCATGTGCCCACTTAGTGTCCCTTCCTTCAGTGCATCAGAATTCACTCCAAAAKCTGCCTCTTTCCAAGCACTGTCCCATGAGCCTGCAGTGAGCTGTTCTGGTCCAGGCTACATTAAAAACRAAACCCAGTTATTTCCCATCAGTGGGATGAGGATCTGACCATAGAATTGGGGTTCTTGATCCACAGCAAGAGCAAGGCTGGGGTGCACCCAAATTCTCTTCCTCCAGGGTGGTTCTGCCCCAGGTGAATGATCTCCAAGCTGAATGGTTTTACTAAGGGAGTATCAGTATTGTGGTGTTCCCTTCTGTGTCTGACCACAAACCTGCTCCCYTTGAAACCCTCCCAGTCCCCTCTGCATGGACTCCCCCATCCCATCCCAGAGTGGACAGGGATGTCCCCACTTTGCTGTCACAGGACAGGCTCCTTCATCCCAGACTCATTCATCACATCCTGAGCTCTAAGATGATCCCAGAGCATGAGGATGCCATGGCAAGCAGTTTTGGGGTAGAGCAGTTAAAGGGGTGCCAGGCTTGAAGGTGGTGCTGGAAATGGGAAACAAGCCTACATTGGTGTAATTCCAGTGAATAGAGCTGAAATGTGATTGTGGAATTGCTGGGGAAACAAACAAGATATTTGCTGCTCTGAGTATTGAAATCTCCCAGACTCAGTTGCTTTCATGGAATTGCCATTTCCCTGGTGAAGTGTGGAAAGGCTGAAGCTGAATTGTTGTTGGGTTTGGGTCCCAGTGGTTAACGGGGCGTGTTTATCTCTAGGGATAGAGGTCTGAGCACATCCATGAATAATCACAGTCCCTGCAGCACTCCCTGATGTAAGGAAAAGACTTGATAAATGCAACATGGCTGTTGATTGTGGAGTGCAGCAGGATCTTGAAGCAGGAGCAAAGCATTGGCTCTGCTGGAAATTCTCAATGGGTCACAGGAGGGGTYTGATTTAGTCCCGTTGTCCCTGCAAAAACAAACCCTCTTCTCTCCCCTTGAATCCTCAGGACATCCTGGAAGGYGGCAACTTGCGTGTCCCGCTGCAGGAGCTACACCAAATGATCCTCACCCCCATCAAAGCCTACTCTTCCCAAAACTCGAGCACRGAGGAGCACAGCCGGGAGGTGGACTCGCACCACCCCTCCTCCCTGATGGGCTCGGACGGCCAAGGCTCCGAGTGCAAGGACTCGGCGGCGGGYGGGATGCAGCAGCACCATCTGCCGGGATGCGAGGGCGAGTCGGGYGGGGCCCCTTTGCCCGAGGGGGACCTGCCCGGTCAGTTCACCCGGGTCATGGGCAAAGGTGAGCAGCTCTCACTTGTCCTTGGTGACCTGGGCAGTTGTCACTGGGCAGGGCTTTGGGGCAGGGGACATGCGGTGGCAGCCACTTTTCCCTGAGCTACTGCAAGTCCCAGTCTGAGGGGTGATGGTTTTTTGAGGTCCTGGCATGCTGGGGTCAGAGGTAAGAGTGTGATAGGGCAGGTGGGCTGTGATTTTGGGGCAGGGCAGCAATGGGACAGGCTGCTTGCCCCAGGRTGGACAGCATCTTCTCCCTGTCCCCAGCTCAGGAGGGGATGGCATCTTTTCCTGWGGTCAGGGCTGGAGAGATTCCTCTCCCTTCCCATTCAGAACCTTGAGGTCATCCYGCTGATCCAGAAATGTTTTCCTCTGCCTGGAGCAGGGTTTTAGTGAAGCATGGGCTGGTCATCAGCCACCTCGAGTGCAATCAGTGGCTCCAAGCCCCTTTTTATGCCCCAGGTTGGCAGCAGGATATCCAGAATGTTCTGGTGGCATTCTGTGCTTGGTGCAGGGTGTACGGCTTTGCATCAAGGATAACACATTAGGAGATGACATAATGATGTGAGGTGAGGACTGACCAGCCGTATTCAGGGCTCTTGGATCAAATCTTTGTGAGCTTCAATGTGCCCTAAACCTTGTTTGTGGCACCTGAGGTGTCAGTGCTGGCTGCTTGGAGGGAGATCTTCCTGGGGAAGAGGAAGAGGAAGGGGAGTGTCATCCGCAGGAGACTGGGAACAGAAAGAGCCTCACTGGGATGCCACAGAAAAATATCAGCCTTGTCCCTATTTCCAATCTTTTTTGCAAAAGAACAGCTGAGATGTTTCCTGCATAGAAACCTGGTGCAGAGTTTGTCCCCAGCTGGTTGCCTGCACAAATAGCCACATGTGGCTATTTATTTTTTTTATGCATCCCCGTTTTATTCCTGTGACAACTGCCAAAGTATGGCACGAGCCCTGCCAAGATGTGGTGTCCTCCTGGACCTCAAGGCATCCCTGCCCGGGGTTCACAACAGGAGAAACTCATTCCTCTGTGAGCTCACTCCCACTTGATTTTATGACATTCATTCCRAAAGAGGTTAAGATTCATCAGGAAAGGTGGGAATTTACCACTCTGCAGTGGGGGCAGATTTTGGCCACGGGAACAGGAGCTCTCTTGCCTATGAATAGGGATTAGTCCTGTGCCCCTGAGTTGCTTAGGTCTAATTTTGGGGACTCCAGGGATGTTACTCTGGATTTACACYGTCGTAACAGAGAACAAAATCTGGCTTTAAATATAGGAAGGCAYGGCAGGAATTGGGGAAGGGCGTTTTTTCTCACTGATGAAAAACCTACTCGTGGTTACAAGGGAAACAGGATGTCCAAGGTGCTTGTGGGACCCCTCCTGGGCCCCATCTCAGTGTCCCCATCCCCATTTCCCTTCTCTTCTTCTTTTTTTTTCCAGTCTGCACACAACTTTTAGTTTCCCGACCCGATGAAGAGAATATAAGTTCCTATTTACAGCTCATAGACAAATGTCTAATCCACGAGGTGAGTCCTGTCGGATCATCTAAAACTGTTGTTCTCATCACTTGGAAACTGTTYCTGTTGGAAACTGTGTCTGTTTGTGTAAACCTTTTGGTTTCTAACACAAATATTTTTGGGGGATATTAATAGTAATTCTGACAGAACAGGCTTGGAGCGGGCGGTAGCTCCAACGTGGTGTGTGGAAATGTTGCTTCCCCCCACGCTGGTTTAATTGCCAAAGCCTGGAGCTGGGAAATTCATCTGGCTCGTGACAGACCCATCAGCAGCTGGATGAAAGAAAGAATCCTGGGATGAACGTGCAGGCCGTTTCCATCAGACGGCCCCGGCGATCCTTTGGCATTGCCTCCTCCCGTTCTGCAACACGTGGTCTTGGGATTTTGCAACAGGGATTTGATTTTACATCTGTTCCTGCTTCCTGGTGGCTTGGGATGGCTCAGACTGTGCCACAGGGCTCTGGCATGGTGCTGCCCGGTGGCAGGGATGGATGGCCCGTGTCCCTGGTGTCCTGCAGTGCCTCCTCCCCACGCTGGCTGTACCTGGAAGAACAAGCTGCTTCCATCACCTGCCCATATGGATCAGGGAGCAGAAGTGCTGCAGGCTGAGCAAAGCCAAGAGGACGTGGAACTTCTCCCAAAATGCCTGCACTTCTCCCACCAGGGCCAGCTCGTGTCCCAGGACCACCCTCTGCGTTGGCTTCGGCGTAATCAGTGCCAGGAGAGAGCATCTCCTCCAGAGAGCGGCTCAGAGCAATCAATTCAGGCACTAATTAGCCTCCAGATTGTCCTCTGGAGACTTCTGCTCCTCTCCAGCAGAGCCCGTGGATTTCTAAAGTTAGCAGTGGTGGCACGTGGGTGTCCCTGTCACCCACACCTCCTGCYKGGAGCYCTGGGAGCAGGGCTGTCCCCTGCCRGGGTGACCTTTGCAGGGAGCCYGGCTGGGTGACAKGCTGGGTGACAGTCTCACCCTTGGTGACAGGCTCACCCTGGTGGGTGACAGGCTCACCCTTGGTGACAGGCTCACCCCGGGTGACCTCCCACAGAGCCTGTCGGTGCCAGGATCACAGCCAAGCTCTGCCCAGCCCTGGGAAGGGGGATAGGATGTAGGATGCCACAGGGCAGCTCAGCTTTCCTGATCCCAGCTTTGCCTACCCTGGCAGTGTTTCTGGAGCCACATCCAGGTGACAAGTGTCACCACCCGTCAGGACCCAGCATCAAACCCCTGCTCTGCCAGAAGGAGTTGGCAGCCTCAGGGCAGAGCTGGGCTGTCACTCTGGGACACAGGGAATGCTGCCAAGAGCATTTTCTCCACCTGAGATGAGTAAATCCTGAAGAAAGACCAGTGTTTCCTCCTGAACTTGCTGATGGGGCTCAGCTCACCCCATCACCTGCTCCAGCTGCTTTTCTTYACCCACACACCCCTCTGCACATCCCTGCTGGCTTTGTCCAGAAGAATATTCATCCATTTCCTGATTTTTTCTCCTTTTTTTTTTGGGCAGGCGTTTACAGAGATCCAGAAGAAGCGGCTGCTGTCATGGAAACAGCAGGTGCAGAAACTCTTTCGGTCTTTCCCTCGGAAATCCCTCCTGGAGCTGTCGGGCTATCGGCAGCAGAGGAGGTATGCGGGATTTCGGGAAGGGAGGGATGGATGCAGAGGCCAGAAAAAGAGCACTGCAATGTTTCCCAGAGGCTGGGATGGGTTCTGCTGTGTTCAGAGCTGTGTTTAGGGAGGGAGGAGTGTTGGAAAAGGTTCAGCACTGGGATCCCAGGCTSTGGCTGGGAAGGGAACACAGCAGTCAGTGTTTTTGTGCGTGTGGTCACTGCCTTCCCCTGATCCCACCCTGTCTCCCTGGCTCCAAACCCGGCACTTCCCAGCATATCCCCAACACTGGGCTCTGTCCCTGCTGCCCTTTGCTGATGGCACCAGCACTGCAGTTTCCTCAAAAAGCTGTCAAGTGGCAAAAAAAAAGGTCTGGAAGCCTTCAGAGGCAGGAAGCCTTTCAGCCCAGGCAGGGCCATGTTGGGAGCACCACATTTGCTCAGTTCCAAGGTGATGCTGGATTTTGGGTGATCCTAGAAAGCCTAGGGGTTGTGCCAAGAAGAGATACTTTTAAATCACTTTTAACAACAGCATCAGCCCGTGGTTTCATTCTGCAAAGCCTGGTTTGTTGCAAGTTCGTTATTCCCAAAAAATAAAGTGGTTTGGAGATAACTGGGATATAGGAACATCCAGGATGTGATTTCAGGAAAGCACCTTTAGCTCAGCCCTCCCGAACAGATCTTGGATTTGTTAGGTTGTTCTAAAAAAATKTTACAGAACTTGAGAAGTCTCAGGGGTTCATTGTAAAAATGAACCTCGTGGAAGGGGAGAAGAAAAACCCAGCAGCATAAGCTGAACTTCAGTTAGACACTGGAGAACCCACTCCAGTGGAGACATCTCAAAGAAAATCAGGCGCCTGGGGCATTACCTGAGTCATTTTAGCTTGTATTTAAGAACAGGCTAATTTTTCAGGAGTAAAATAAACTTCAAAGAAAACAAATGTGAATCTGAGAGCTGCAAAAGGGTGGGAGGGTGACTGGCAGACAGGAAAAAAAGAGGATGCAGGACACCCACTGCCTGTGCAGGATGGAGGGAGCACCCTGGGTGGGATGGGAGGGTTGGGAACCCCTCACCCTGAGCAGTGTCCCCTCTCAGGGAGGGGTCAGTGTGTCACCCTGGGCGCTCTGTCTTTCCGCAGCCGAGGCTTTGGCCAGTCGAACTCCCTCCCGACAGCCGGATCAGCGGGGGCAGGGCTGGGCCGGAGGAACCCCCGTCAGTTCCAGATCCCCTCCCGAAACCTCCCCACGGCCAGGCTGGGGCTGCTGGGCCCCACGGGACTGCTGGGCACCCCCCAGCGCAGCCCCGCCGCCAGCCCCGCCATCCTCAAGCAAGGCAGACAGGTTGGTTGGCATTTGCTGCATCTCCAGTTCTTCCATCCCCTTCCCCCTGTGCTTTTCCTTCTCTAACTTGTCCACATCACTGCTTTTCTCTCCACTCTTCAAGCAGTTTGAAGGTGTTTGGGTTGCACTGCACTCTGTGCAGTGGGATGTGCAAGTGGGACTGGTGGGAGGGGGACAAACCAAGCAGCRGAGGGGGAAAAGCTGAGTCCTTAAAATGCTTCTAAAAATAGAGAGAGGGACTTTTGACAGGGGAAGGTAATAGTAGGAGAAGGGGGAAGGGTTTTAAATTGSCAGAGGGGAGATTTAGKTGGGATATTGGGAAGGAATTCTTTTCTGTGAGACTCTGGCACAGGGTGTCCAGAGAAGCTGTGGCTACCCCTGGATCCCTGGAAGTGCCCAAGGCCAGGCTGGACAG